CGTGAAGCATGTCTAGTGCTGCAGCTGTGCTTTCCTGTGCTGCTGGCTCAGGAGATCCACGTCGGGCAGGGAAAGGGTCTGGATGCAAGCTCTCCAGGAAGACTCAGTGGTTGGGGAAGGAGCACTGGTATTCAGCGGGCAGGCATTTCCTCCTCTGGAGCGAGTCTAACCAACTCCCTAGTATGATGCAGAGGGTCCTCGTTCTGTCGAGAGTGTCACAGTTGGGATCGGATGTACAAAGGCCAGGCCTTGGCTGGTTGTGTTTGTTGAAGATCCTGCAGTACCCTGTAGAAAGACAGAGGCGTTCGCTCTGGTAGGTGGCAGAGAGTGCAACCCTGATATGCCACGCTACCCCCAAACTCCCTCTGCAATTTCAGTGAGATCCAGTGACTTGCTTTGCTGAACAGTGATGAGTTCATTCCAGCAAAGAGGTTGGTATCAGCAGTGAAAGCCCCTTGGCCCACAAGGTTGCCTTCCTCATGAATGGCATTGCTCTGTTGCTCTCACCTTGCCAGCATGCGGCCTTCCAGTTAGCCATTGTGCTCCAGTGGCATTTTGGGCTTTTGCTTTGCTCTTTTCCACTGGCTGAGAGCCTTATCGTCTTATCTACAGACAAAGAGGAACTGGGGTTTTCAGAGAGATCTTGCATTGAAGACTTGGTCAGAGATCTTGCATTGAAGACTTGGTCAGATACAATGCTGAGGGGCACAGCGTAAGAACATAAATCTCTGGAGCTTCCTTGAACATGAGGTTACCAAATGGGCCATGCTTAAACAGTTTTCGAGGAAAATCAGCACTCTGTTTTCTTTGATTTACTGCTCACTGGGCATTCAGTGCCTTGTTAAATGTTTCTCATGTTGGCACATTCCCTGTGCATAGTATCATAGCGATGCCAGATAGAGCTCAGAGGTGGGATCTGTGTCATCCATTCATCTCTACTCGGAGAGATATCTATACGCACATGTACATGCATATGTGGTATATAGAAATGGATTGGATTAGACTGAAAATAGGAACCATGCTGAAATTAGTGAACTTATGCCAAGGATGAATAGGGTTATAGAATTATAGAAAACAAGAGAAAGCCACTGACTTCTGCCTCTGATAGTATTGCAGAACGCGAAGGCCTCTCCCAGAATAAGTCTGTTTTAAGCAGCCTGCCCGGAGAATCCTCACCGTATTTTTTTCTGTTTTACCATCTCAAGAGCATCCATGGGATAGTTAAGTGTCTCTTGTGGTTGGGCATTCCCTGGGTGTGCATATTCCCAGCCCTGCTTTCTACAGCAGTAAAAGCAAACTGCACAGGCCTGCAGGATGCCCAGTGAGGTCAGCTAATTCGCAGCCTACTAGTTTGTGTGCGTGTGGGCACACATGTAGGTGTGTGGATAGGGACATGCAGGTTACTTTGTATGACCCCCCCCTCATCACAGATAAGTTCCTTTCAGCACTAGCCCCATGCAGGAGGTTCAACATTAGCGTGCAGATCTAAAGCAACATCATCTTATATACTTACCTGAAAACTAGCCCTGTCTGCTCTTAAAGACTCGCATGCAAAAGGCAAAGCACTTTATTTATAAGCAGAAATGCCTCCACTTATTCCTGGCTTGCCTTCAGCACTCGGGAGGAATAAGGAAGAATGAACTTTTCCCTTTTGGATCAGGTTTGAAAGTCAGATCGGACAAATAATTTTGCAAAGCGCTGCATGAACATGGGATGTTATTGATTACAGTGCAGACATTCTTGATAATCTGGGGAATTTTTAAAATCATATTTTACCAGTGGAAAAACAGAAATGGTGGCAATTTAGAAGTCTAAGGAGGCTGCAAATTTAAATGAAGCATTCAGACTTGTAAGGGTTAAGTCTTAAGGCATCACTTGAGTCCCAAAGTCCAGGTCCTCATCTGGTATACACTGGCAACCTTTCCACTGAAGTCTATATGGCGCCGTGTCACTTTACCCTCGGTGGACCCTCCATGCCATTAGCTATCTGCTGTTTATCCAATGGGCAAATCCTTTTACCAAATGGTTTCTGTAGCCTTTAGATTCAACTTGTGCAGGGTGGAACATGTCATGTTTCCCAGGTGGCTTTTGCTGTCCTAGAGACCTTTAAACTCTGTCCAGAGGCTGCCAGACATCTTCCGTAAGGACGCTATGTTCCCATGCTTCATAAATCAAAACCAACGGAAAAGCGGTGGCAGGGACTGCAAACCCACAACGGCTCTCTTCCAAGGGAACACCACAGAGTTGAATAGCAGCTGTGCTGGCTCCAGACAGCAGATACTGGGTCATGGTATCTGGGAACTCATGCTTAAGGACATCGGGCTATAGAGGAGGGGCTTCTTGGGCACAGATATATGAGCAAAGGCACTCACTAATAAATGCCACAGTGAAGTACAGCCTCAGCGGGCCACTGGGAGTGTGCCGATCAGCACACAAGATGGAGAGCTTATGGCATGTACCCAGCCCCATATCATATTATGCACGGCCACGTTGCATCCTTTTGGGGTGTAGCATGTCCATAATGGTTGCCATGCTTCAATGTGGCACTCCACTGCATGGTCCTTGGATGGCGTAGACCTGATCGTAGGCTTTCCGAATCAGTAGAAAGAACCCTCTTCACGCCTCGCGGCACATACCCAGGTCAGAAGAGGACACCTCTTCGCATGCCCTATCCTGGAGGCCTGGCTGAGAGGTTCAAGGTCAGATTTTCTTCTGGAAATAAATTTCTTTCATAAATGTAAATGCCAGAAGGGGACCGTTGAGTTCATCTGCATCACGCAGACCATAACATGTCACCCAGTTGCTCCTGTCGTAAGCCCAGTAACTTATTATAGAAAACCAGCTGACTGTGGCCAACAATGAGAAGCTCCCACACCCCTCAGCAAACTGCTCCAACAAGTACATGCACCTCAGGATTAAGACTATGAGCTACTGATTTCAGTGGGGCAGCACCAACATAAATCAGAGAATTCAGCCCAAGATCTTTATTGCATATATTAACTCTAAGGTGAAAGAGCTTTAAGCAGCTTTCCCTATATCCTAGACAGCGGTTAGCTTTTATGAGACCAGCCATGTTACATTTGTGGAGGAAGGTCAGTCTCTCAGCTTTATTTCAGAGAAATCTCCGATTCCTTACATTCCTCTCCCTTCCGATTGGTACTCAAGGCCACGTAGATGATTTTTTTCCATTTGTTTTTTAAATCTTAGGAGTTATTAAAGTGGTTTGGTTGTCAAATGAAGTGACTGGGACACAAGCTATAATGTAGGAGAGGAAGAAATTTACTCTGCACTTGGGGGAAGAGGAGGAAGTTATCGGCTGAGAGAGAGTGTTAGAAATCGGGATCGATTTTCAGTATAAAACCCCTCACCAGTTTCATTAACTCACAATGGCAAGAGCAATGAGGGCAGCAAAAATATGGCGGGGCCGGGGAAGGGATATTCCTAATGACCATCTGCAGAGAAGAACGGCATGGTCCAGCCAACTTACCTCAAGGATGCTGTGCTTAGATGTGCAAGGATGGGACTTTTCCTGGCAGGCAGTGCTGGAGGAGACTTAGCTGCATAAAATGACTTCTGACATGGCCACCTGTGAGGTCAACATGAAAGCAAAAGCCATAAACATGGGTGGTGTTACTCATGGTGGACCAGTGGGTTCGACTACTTCGAGCTCGGCGGCCCCGGACATGTGGTGTTGGGAGGTGGTACATTGCTTCTCCTTAGACCACCTCGAGAGGGTGGAGCAGGAACCAGACCCATTTCTCAGCCCATATTCATCAGTGTTGACTTCACTGATGCTACACTGGTGTTAGTGGCTGGGGAACTGGGCCCATTCTTCGAGCTGCTGTAACCTGAACAAGGAAGAATACCTTCTCCCTCCTGGATAACCATGCGGAGCCATACAGGAAGAGAGCATCTCATGGGGAAGTTCATGGGCTGAGAGGGCCAAATTAAACCCTGGCATAACTGAGTGAAGTGACCCTGAAATGATCAGGTTAAAGCCTGCTTTTATGCTGGTGTGAATCCAGGTCCAGCGGCTGCAGAGTTTGCCCCTCTGAGTTGGTGGGCTCAAGCCATGATCCTCAAAGGTCTACATTGGTTGATCTAAAAGGAGCTGGTGGCAATGCTCTGCTCCCGGTGCCCTCAACACCAAAATCACCTGTCCCAGACAGCTTCTTCCTGGGGAACTTCAGCCAGGACCAGTCTCTGCAAGGGGCAAGTTTGATGTGAAAACAGGGGAGTGTCACCCAATGTCACCAGAGCAGAACGTGGCCACAGTGCCAAACGACGGGACAAAGCGTATGCTACAGACACCCCCAGCACCATCCTGCACTATCCCAATGCTTGACATGATGTTATTTCCTTCCCTATTTGTCCTGCAGATCCCCTACCTACTTCTGAACTCCTCCGTGCCAGAGATGAGGCCTCGAATGTACCCAGTGTTTTTTGGAGAAAGCATTGAGGTCAACCCTGAACCCATACAGGAAATCAGGTACATATGGAGGTGATTTTTTTCCCCTCCCCCCCTCCCCATAATTTTTCTCCTGCAAAAGATTATCGTGTTTATAAATGGGTGTCACAGTTACTTTGTTGGTGGAAGGAATGGAAGAATAATTCTTGAATTGCAAAGAA